AAAAAAAAAAAAAGAGTCTGACTTGGTCCTGAAAAGACCAAAGGCTTAAGTTCCATATTTCAGCTTCTAAAGATACTCAGGCTGAGCTGGAAAACTTTAAGTGACTGAGTGTGAATGGTATAAATACATTTTATATCTTCCTGCCTTCTAACACATGGGATTCTACCCCTTTACATCTTCCTACATAATCAGAAGCCTCACAAAGTCATCTGACCTCAGGAAGTTGTTTTTCAGGCCAGAGAAAATAATGGAACAGATGGAATTGATTCCTCTCTGTTCAGAGACAGCACTGAAAATCTCATAGCAACATCTGGGAGCTGTGCAGGCGCTCTGACCAGGACAGCAGATTGGTCAGCTTCCTATGACCCCAGCACTGGCGACCAGAGCTGTCTCTTACCTGGCACTTCGGAAGTCAGAGTATAATCATATTTGATGTCTATTGATTAATTGTTACCTGCCATGGTGACATGGTAGATGGAATGTTAGAGTTGGGAAGATCAGAATTCAAATCCTGTCTCTGATAGTTACTTGCTAAGTAATTTAACCTATTTCAGCCTTTGTTTCTTCACCTGTAAAATGGGGACAATACTAGCACCTACCCCATGGAGTTGTTGTGAGGACTGAATGAGGTAACATGTGTGAAGTGCTTTGCAAATCTGGAAGTACCGTGTAACTGTTGACCATTATTACTCTTGGGGCAGCTAGGTGGCCAGCTAGCCTGAGGCCTGAGGTCAGGAAGACTACCCTCTCTGAGTTCAAAGCTGGCCTCAGACACTGACTAGCTGTGTGACCTTAGGCAAGTCACTTTAACACTTTTTGCCTCAGTTTCCTTATCTGTAAAATGAGCTGGAGTAGGAATGGCAAACCACTCCAGTGTGTTTGCCAAGAAAATTCCAAATGGGGTCACAAAGAGTCAGACACGACTGAAACGATTAAACAACAACAAATTGTTCTTGTCAAGATGCCCAGAAAACGTGGAATGTGAGTCGGAATCAACAACAATTAAATTACATTTCATACAATTTCAGGGTTAGCTGTATCTAACTATGTGCTAATTATTTTTAAAACTGAAAATGATACATGACAGTGTAACTCTAATAATAAAAAGGCTTTATTAACCTGTCTATCCCATTTTCTAATCATGCCAGAGGATGGAATTCATGGTAATCTGGTGATGTGGTTGGACTACTTGGGAATCCGAGAAGCTCAAAGATGATTACAGGTTAGGCAGAGCACTCTGCTCTCATTGGTGTAATGGATAAAATACTGCATTAGACCTCTGGTCCCACTTCTGCCATTGACTGGCTGTGTGACAACTGAGGAAGTCACTTCATACGACATTTTACAGCCTATAAAACAATTCTATGATCTGTAAAATCAAGGCAGAGACCAGGACAATCTCTTCAGTGTCTCTCACAAGCACCAAATCTAACTTAAGGGGCCAGCTCTCCCGTTCCCTTCACCCCACCCGGACGCACCCCATCGATCTCGTTAGTAGATGTTTCTTCTTAGTTCATTACTCCATCTTTGCCTACTGCCCCCACATTGGTACTTCTCTCTTGGGCAAAGTAAAGAAGTTATTTTGGCTCCTCACAGCACAAAACAACTCTGCTTCATGTAGAATCCTAGAATTTCAGAGTTGGAAAGCTTACATCTTACACAATGAGTGGCCATCATCCACTCTTTGCTCAAAGACTCACAATGAAGGGGAATCTATTAGCACCAAAAGCAAATAGCTCTCCTTTCAGATAGCTCTAATTAATAGGAAGATTTGCTTTTTAAATCTGCTCTCTTTGTAGCTTCTAATCATCTCTCCTAATTTTGCCCTCTGGGGCCAGGCACAAGTCTAACTACTCTTCCAAGGGATACCTACCTCAAGATGGATGGATAGATGGAAGGAGAGAAGAAAAGAAACATTTATTAAGTTACCTACTATGTGGCAATCATTGTGCTAAGCCCTTCTAATTTTATCCTTACACTATTTGCTGTTATTATGTCCAATTTGACAGTTGAGGAAACTTCACTCTACCCTCCCTCCAGGTCACCGGGAGCTATTTCTAGTCTTATCCCACCCTCACCTCCCTTACTGCTCACATATAGGTAGTTGGGCTACCTTGGAATTTTGTAAAGAAAAAGAGATTTAAATAGTAGTATTACCTACCAAAGGATGACTATGAAAAACAGGAAATTTGAACTTGAGGCCACTCATTTTCAGTAGCTGGAATGGCATGAAAAGAGCTGTGAGCAACTTGTGGGTTCCACTTGGGAAAGGGAAGGGAATAAGTATTTTATATAGTGTCAACCATGTACCAGGTACCTTGCTAAGTGCCTTTTAAAATATTTCTTATTTGATCTTCACAATAACACTTCAAGGTAGGTACTATTGTTTATCCTCATTTTATAGTTGAGAAAGCTGAAGCAAAAAGAAGTTGAGTCACTTGCCCAAGGTGACACAACTAGTAAATGTCCAACACTGAATTTGAACTCGGGTCTTCCTGACTTCAGGCCTTCTACTAATCCCTACCTCTAAATTCTAAAGTTTGGAAAAGAATGAGTATGTGTAGGGATTCTGCCACCCAAATGAGAGGCAGCTTAGAAAAAGGTGCTGAGGTTAAGGAAAGTCCAAATAATCTGACCAGGCTCATATAACAGTCACTACTTGGGATTTTGAGACTGCCATATATACCGCCATCTTGGAAACTCCTCAAACAGGCAGCCAATAGCTAGAGCACTTTCAGGTTTGGGAAGCAGTCTACAAATATCATCTCATTTGATTCTCATAAGCACCTTGGGAGGTGGGTAATACAACTGCCCCTATTTTATAGATGAAGAAACTGAAACTCAGAGAACTTACCCAAAGTCACACAGCTAAGTGTCTGAGGAGAGATTTGAACTCAAGTTGTTCTGAAAGGAATGCCACAAGTATAGACACACCCTGGCTTATTTTCCTCCAGAAGAATGAAAGCAGTTCCAGCTTGGTTCTGAATTAACAACCAGGGAATAAAATTCAAATCCTTTAAATTAGATTACAAATCTATTTCTATTCTGTGAGGGATTAAGGTAATAGCAGATAGGTTGCATACTAGAGATCAGACACTCTTAAAATAGAATAAACTTTATGGCTAATGAACAATGCTCATAAACCTTTCTTAGACAAATAGATGTAAATCTTTTAAAATTTCTCTACCCCAATATGGGGGAAGGGGAAGTTTGAGTTCTAATAGATTATTCTATATCTTTTATTCATGAATCAAGAAATCAAGATGATAATATGGTCACCTATTCCTACTCATTTGCAGACAGGTTCATGTTAGAAAAGAGCCCCTCTACCCCCCGCAAATAGATAGAAGGAAAAAATTATAATGATCCCTCTGTTTATGGGTTAACTCTTGTATTAAAACAAGCCAAAGGGGACTTACATATTTATACGACCTCTTATTTAAAGAAAACACATAAAAACAGAAATGAAACTATGAAGTCTTTATTTGAATGATCTTAGTTTTTGCCTAGAATAACTTTCCCAAGCCCAGAGTAGTTTAATCAATGAACATTTTATTCTCCTAATATTCCTGAGTTCTTCATCACCAATCATTTTGCTAAAATCAGTTTAAATTTTACTTCTCTTTTTAAAAGAACAGGGAACACTGTAAGGCCTGTGGTCCTTAAAAATCTTCATCTCCTGCCTCACCACTAGAGATATTCCATACAGGTCAACTGTTGCACTCAAGAAGAAAGTGATAGTTTAAATGTCAGCAACAGAAATGTTTAAAATAAAGGCTTTACTTTTAATAGCTTTTAATTGAGTTAAAGAAATGGGGAAAAAGATTTTAAATTTTATCAGCGTATTTTCCTTTCTCATCCTTCAACTTTATGTTTTTTAACCACATCAGCTTTTGACCTTATTTGTTCTGGGATTGTCATATTCAACAAATCAGTAATTTCATCCCAAATATTTTTGGTGCCACAGAAGCCCCTTCACTGTTTTTTTGACGCCTTTGCCTTCTAGCCTTTTCTGTTTGTTTTTGTGTTGTTTTTTTTTTCTAGTCAGCTTGATGCAAACACAGAGCAATCTGCCACTGCAGCTCAGCCAGACCGCACAAACGTCCTGCTCCCTTTCACAACACTGCCTGGAATTTAAGTGGCTGGAGAAGACGAGGAGGCATACTAAAAGGAAAAAAAAACTGTGCATTTCTCTATAGGCTACCCGCTGATATGCTGCAAAACCACATTTCAATGAATGCCCAGACACTCTAAACAGGGATGCTGAAGGATCCGTGTTACCCTTTCTTACTGAATTTCATACTCAGACAGCCATTTTGCAATGCACAGCCGATCCGTGAAATAAGGGGTTATTTCAATCTTCAATGGAAAAAGCCACAGAACGATTAAGCTGTTGTAAAATGCTGCTGTTAGCTGCACAGATGCATAACCTATCAAACGGCATCAAGTGCCTCTTGCCTAAATCTGTTCAAAATAAGAACTGGGATGTTGGTCGTCTTGGTGATATTAAATCCTGACAACCTCTGACTGATTATTCATGAGCTTAAATGATTTTTGCAGGCAATAATTCAAATGGGAAAACAGAGCTACCCTAGCTAGGTTTAAAAAATAATAATAAAATAAAACAGCAGAGCATCAACTGGTTTGAACGGATAAGGATCTCCAAGACAATAGATTTCCAGGGCAAGCTAAGTAGAAGTTATTCCATAGCTCATTATCCAAGTCATCTGGCCCTGACAGTAAAAGAAAACATTTAAGGAACATTTCAGAAGCTCATGTACCTGAGATGCCCTGAAAACTCGCTGCACAGGGGACTGATTCTGCCCCGTCCTCAGTACAAGGATGAAAGCATCTGAAAGGGGCACCAGACAAATCCTCAGAATTCGCAGCTCCTAGCCACAATTCTAAAGCAATCAGAAACTTACATAGGAAACCCGTACTCGCCGCCGATGTCCCAACCCACAGCACTGCATGAAGAGGAGAGCAGAATGCAATCAGCATGGGGCTTCACCAACCTTCAGTATGCCTCGTCTTCTCATTTGAGCCACTGTCCATCTCTTCCCTCCATCCAGTCCCAGGTAAGAGGAATGAGCAAATCAACATTTAGCTGCTGGTTCCTAGGTACATATGTATATTTAAGACAGATCCTGTTGTCACGCCAAAACTTTTTGGGTTTGGCCCCCTTTTTTCTCTCTGGGGAGGAGCCAATATCTTTTTCTCCTTCAGAGAGTTGTATACTTAGAGAATGTAGGAACAGTGTCATTTAGTCTCCTGTCATGACTATTGCTAATAGATAATCACAGCTGTCCAAATAATTGGAGCCCCTTGCCGACATGTTTACATTAACCGTTCTTAGGAGATCCTCAGCCATCAGAGAACCTTTGCCTTGCAGGGCACTCAAACAGCCTCATCTTTTCAAGGAAAGCCCGTCCCTGGTGCTGTCGATGTTCCTGCCTCAGCTACAGCTTCTGCTGCTGTTCCCCTAGCAGAACCCTTCTCGTGATACACAGCCTAGCAAGAGCATCCTTGATTCAATGTTACCTCTGAACCATACGGTGGGCATAGCTGATCAGCTATTTATCCCTCCCCCACCAGTCTGAAAAAATGACGGAGTCTAGACTTTAATTCACTCTGGATTCCTGGGACTATAGAACCACCCTCCAAATTGTCAGATGCTTTGTCTTGTGCTACGTGTTTCCCATGAATTGTGGGCAGGCTTGCTTCAGCGGCCTCAGTACCTGACTCACTCCCCCGCGGCAGCTGCAGTTTTTGCTCACTGCCAATCATTCCCATCTTGACTGAAAACAGATACAAACTGAAGCCTCACAAAGCAAATTATAGGAGAGCTCCAATTTAGTTACTTAGATAAGCTAGTACCCAGCTTTTAGATCTACTCATCTTTAGGATTCAATGACATGGAGAAAGGCACAAACCGAGAATCAAAAATGATATAAATTATTGATTAATCTATTAATCTAGAAGATTCAGACATGGGTAGAATAGTTATATTTTAAAAGGCATTGTTTATTTCAGGCCCACTTCATAGTGAGTATTGGTAGGGCCCTTGGGTACAGTCCTATAAGTTTCTATAACATCGACAATTCTCATGAGCAAATGATTCATATAATATGTCACAGTATTGAGCTAGATTTTCCCAGGGCCTAAGTCAACTCCCCAGGAATAGTAGGCATTTGGGGAGGCATATTAACTATTTCAAGTCAATGCCCTAGGCGCCTGAATAAGTTAGTGCCACAGCTTAACATTTTAGGTACTAGGCATAATAATAATAATAATAATAATAATAATAACAATAACAATAATAATAATAAAAATGAACTCCTTAACAACATTGCTCTATTTTTTCCTTAAAACCTATTAGATTTACTAATAGGATCACAAATTTAGATCTATAAGGGGTCTTATTCCAGCATTTTCATTTCACAGATGAGGAAACTGAGGCTCAGTCATTAAGGACCTCTTTGAAGGTCATACAAGTAGTAAGAAGCACAGCTGGGATTTGAACTCAGGTCCTCTGACTTTGTGTTATTTGACAGAACAGGCTCTTAGAGGGCAGCAGAGTATAGTGGCAAGAATGTAGGATCTAGTACCAAAGGACCAAGATTCAAATCCTAGCTTTGCGACCTTAGTCACTTATTTTCTTTCAACCTCAGTTTATTAATCTATAAAATGAGTGGGTTGGATTAGATGACCTTTATAATTCATTCTAGCTCATAATGTTTTTCATTTTTCACTAAGCCAATCTTCTCATTTTATGGAAGTGACAACAATCTCTGAGAGTTGAAGTTACCTGTCCAATGAAAGCCAGATGGTACAGTGGAAAAAAAACATAAGTTTTGGAGTCCGAGGACATGAGGTGAAATCTTGCCTCTAACATTTAATACCTCTGTGGCCTTGGATACCTTAGTATAAAATGAGGGGACTGGATTGGACGGTGTCAGACATCCCTTACAGCTCTACATCTATGATACTACAAGTACAGGCAATAGTGTGCATTGCTATCGGTACCACCCATGCAGCTTCCCTGTCAAGTCTTACTTCCATTGTAGTTTAATGGGGATCGTGGGTTTGTGGAGGCTTTCCTACTGGAGCACAAGTTTGGCAGGTTCCAAAGATGGAAAGGTTTCAGTGTCATTGGAGGCAATGGCAGACTCAGATGGTGCCTGCCTTCCAAAGGCCCACCTAACTAAACTGGATAAACTTTATGGGTTGGCCATCAGGTAATGAGCCTTTTCTTAGCCATAGCGGCTCATAAAAACCTAGAGTTTCCTAGAGTTAATCTCTACATTGGTGGGAACAGCACTGACACCAATGAAACGATGAATATTAATGTACTGAAATTCCAATATATTAATTCTTCTAAAAATAAAAATAATCAACAAGTGCATGGTATGTACAGTAATGTTTACCCATGTAGCATAACCTTTTATCGGTGTGTATATGTACACACATACGGAGATGTGTGTTCACACATATGCATATATACATGTGTATATACACATATACATATGCTAATGTGTGCCTTGTACATAAATGTGTATACTGTATATATATACAATGCACATATATGTCTACATATATTTACTTCCACATATACATGCAAGTATGCACCTATAAAATGTACATATACATACATATGTATACATATACACACACCCACATATATAATATGAATACATATAATATGATGTAGATAATGTAATGCGTGTTTCTATATATATGCATGTATACATGTACACACATATACATATACACACATATGTATGGCCGAACTTGTGATTTCATTGGTATAACTCTCAATGATGAAAATCCCTCTAATCATGCAGACGGACACTTGACATGCCAATTTATCTTAGTTGTTTTGGGGAACTTAGACGTTAAATGACTTGTCCAGGGTCATATGTGTCCAGGGCTAGGCTTGAACACAGGTTGGCTCGGAGGTTGGCTTTCTATTCAGTAAGCCATGTTGCCTTACTCCACTGTTTATCCATGCAGTCTCTATTTTAAAAATCTAAAATTGTAATTCTAGAATATTTTAATTCAACAAATATTTTTTATCACATGCAAGATACTGCTCAGGCACTAGAGTCACTAAGAAATATGGATGCTACAACATGAACATAGATGAGTAAGGATGAGGTAATTTGAAATGGGAGAGGGCATTCCATAGGAGATACGCCATGAGGATTGCTGTTACAATGAGTTACTATGAAAACAGGAAAGCCTTAATAAGGGGCAGAATTGTATTCTATGTCTGATAGCCCTAAGAATGGAGTCTAGGTCAATGCCTTCCCTTCTTACACTGAATTTGTGATCTATATCTATATCTATATCAATAGCCAACTCAAGCATTTATTGAGTACTTACTGTTTTGCAGGCATTATATTAAACATGGGAGAAACAAGAAAATCTTAAACAGTCTTTGCCCTCGAGGGAGTCAGACAACATGCAGACACCTATGTACAGACATGATATACAGAGGATAAGTTGGAGATAATCTCAGATGCAAGGTACTAACATCGCAGAAAGCTATGAAAGGTTTCTTGAAGAAGGTGGGATTTTCCCCAAGATATGAAGGAAGTCAGGGAAGCCACGAGTAAGAAAGAGGTAAGGAGGTTGAGAATTCCAGGTATGAAGGATAGCCAGTAAAATGCCCAGAGCTGGGAGATGGAATATCTTGTTCGAAGAATAGCAAAGGAGGCCAGTGTTACTGGATCCCAGAGTACATGGCAGCTGTTGGGGGAAAGAGGAAGTATAATGTGTAAGAAGATTGGAAAAGTTGGGGGGCAGGTTATATCTGATCCTGGAGGTGACAGGGTATCACTGCAGTTTATTGAATAAGGGAATAACACGGCCAGACCTGCACTTTTGGAAGATCATTTTGATGGTCGAGTGGAAGATGGAATGGTATTGCGGAGAGATTGAGGCATGGAATTCAGCAGCAGCTATTACAATAATTCAAGCATGGGGTAATGTGAGTCTGACACCAGCAGCGTCAGAGGAGAAAACAGAGATAGAAAGATAGATAGATAGATAGATAGATAGATAGATAGATAGATAGATAGATAGATAGATGGATAGATATGATGTTATGAAAGTAAAATCAGTAGACTTGGCAACTGATTGGATATGTGGGGAGGGGGGGAGTAGGGAGGTGAAGATGACACTTAAGATTTGAGCCTTGGTAACTGGAAGGGTGGTGGTGTTCTAGAGGGTCAAAGGGAAGTTCAGAAGAAGAGAAGGTTCAGGGAACAAGATATGAAATTCAGATTCAGACATATTGAGTTTATGTCTATGGGACATCTAGTTCTAGATAACTGAAAAGTCATTTGGAGTTGCAAGCATGGAGACAGAGAGCTAGGGCTGGAAAAGTTAATCAGAGAATCATCTACATAGAGACAATAATTGAATCCATGGTAGCTAATGACATCATCAAGTGAAATAGTATAGAGGGAGAAGAGAGCTTGAATGAAGATTCAATAAAGCAAATTGAGAAGGAGCAACCAGACAGGTAGGAGAATCAGGAGAAAGTCTCAAGGGGAAGAGAATGGGTGACTGACTGTCAAAGGCTTCAGAGAGATCAAGAAGTATGAAGGTTGAGAAAAGGTCATTAGATCTGACGAAAGATTATTGGTAACTTTGGAGAGAGCAGTTTCGTTGGGATGATGACTTCAGAAGCCAGATTGAAGGATTAAGAAGGGAGAGGAAAGGAAGTGGAGACATTGACTGCAGATAGCCCCAAAAGGGAGGAGAGATATATGACAATAGCTACTGGAGAGAGATGGATCATGTGAAGGTTTTTTGAGGGTAGGGGTGTGTGTGTGTGTGTGTGTGTGTGTGTGTGTGTGTGTGTGTGTGTGTGTGTGTGCGCGCGTGTGTGTGTGTGTCTGTGTGTCTGTGTGTGGACAGCAGAAAAGCAACCAGGATATAGAAGGAAACCCAAGTTTATTGAGACAGTAGGGACTATAAAATGGGCAATCTGTTGGAGAAGACAGGATAGAGTAGAATTACTTATGGGTCCATGGTGAGATTTACCTTGGCAAGGAGAAGGGCCGCCTCT